GAGTAAAACAAAGTCATATAATAATTTTACTTTATCCATTTTCTTTAGCAACAGCAATTGACGCGAAAAAATAGCTCGCATAGTTTAGGGAGCGACTGCGATGAACAAGGAGTTTCTGAAAATGATGAAGTGGTCGAAACTCTGGCCAGCCGTTTGGAGCGTACAAAACAGCAACCGTATTATCATCATCAAATACAAGAAGTTTCAAAGTGTAAAGGTTCTAGCGGTAGCAATGAATGTAGTAAGTATGAATCTAGTGACCATTTTGTTTGCGGAGAAGTTAAAGCTGAGAAAAAAGAAGGCGAAGATGGAGCAAAAGGCGAAGGAATTCGAAATACTAGCGTTGAACAAGGTGGTTCTGATGGCATCATATGTCCTAATACAAAAAATTCTTGGCCTAATGAACACTATTATGAATCAAATTTGACTGAAAAAGGCAACAATGAGAGTCAAGTATGTAGTAAAAATGATTTGATTGTTCGTCTAAAGAATAATCCCAATGTCTCAGAGACTTCCAACTCTACGAAGTTAAATGACGTTGTAGATGGTATTACACAACATGCAGAGAGATCTTCAACTGGAGTTGGTAAAGAAGAAGAAGTAGTTGGAATTGGATCCAGTGGAGGAGCGTTAGGAAATAGGAACAGTCCTTCAGTCATAAAAGAAACGAATCAAACAGAGCGATTACAGAGGAGGGGCCGACGGTCTGCTATTATTGATAATAAGGTAGCCATACTTGTGCACCCTTACCTATATAGTAAAGCTATTTTGTTAGAGCTCTTGAATACGGTTGCGCAACACTTAATTTTTAGATAATTAAATAAATTCTGTCTAATTACATATTCAAATATAAACAGAATAATAAGGAAAAATGAATATAATTAATCAATAGTTTGATATTACATATAGATCTGATGAATTATGTTTAATAATATGAATTGAAAAATTCAATTTAATTTAACGCAAATGCTTATGTAAATATAAGAGATATTACAACAGTTAATACGTTAATGCAAAAATTTTCTTAATAATTTGTGCGTGACTATTTAAACTGCATTTTAAAACTGTTATATGAATATTCGTTTAAATCAGTATAAATTTATTTACTTGAGTATGAAATTAATTTATTTGCAAATTACTTAGATAATTTTTTTTGAATTAACAAATAATTTGGAAATAAATCATATCATTTTATCTTTAAACTAAAGATGATTAAATTATAGCATTATATTACTAATTAAATTTACAATTTTATCGATCACATTTGCGGATTTGTATCATTACATTTTAAAGTTACTCCATTTTTATATGTTATGCCATTACGCCATGCTTATATATACATTTAGTACAGGGTACCTATGAAAGTATGACTTTTTATTCTAACCTGTTTCACAGAATATGCTGGGAGATTTTGAAAGCGATACTCTTGGAATTGGGCAGGAGAATGTGCAAGAACAAAGGTATTCTTAAATAAAATATGATTTAATTATATCTTAGACCACTCGGTATATCTCAAAATATC